TGTTAGCTTGGATCTCTCTAGTGTAGGGATCAAACTGACAACTGAACCGATTCTACTCTTAATTTACAAAATGGGGAAACATACAAGTCTCACATATTTCAAAGGAGACAGAGCTTCACAAGGACCCATGTGAACTGTAAAGTGATCTACTTGTATAACCTACTCTTCTTATTTGTGTTTAATGACTGTATCAACTAGAGGCCAAATAGAGGCCTAAGTCAAGTCACTTAGAACCTGACTGTGCCCTTCATACTAAATCACTACTGGTTAATGGGAGTCAGGAAGACTCAAGGAATACCAGTCACAATGTGGTCCTACCAGGTGATAGCAGGGCCTCAGCTCTGTAGGCTCAGGTAGACTGGCTAGAAACAGAGCCAACAGGAAGGTGTCCATTTCATGTCTCTCAGCCCTCGATCATGAATCATGTCCTTAATACTGGTACTACCATTTGTTGAAGGGTCTTTTGGAAGCTTTGCAATAACAAACAGGACTCTTTGGAGCTGCTATACTGAAAAGGTCAACCAGGCACATCCAGGCGGGCACTTCCTACTCAAGATGGTACAGTGGAAATGGTCACTTCCAAGGTCAAGGGAAATTTGAATATCAATGAGCAATGGGAACCAAGCAGACTCCAGGGTTGAAAACTGTTGTCAGCATTAGGAGACCTGTCTCCCACTCCTGGCTACCAAACATCCTCTGAAGGCCTCAATTTCTTCATTTGAAAAATGGAAACAATCCATTCCACCTTTGCAGAGTTATTATGAGGATTAAATGACGTAAAAAATAAAGGATTCAGAACAACATCTGCACACAGTAGGTACTTAAGAAATGGCAGGTGCTCTTCCTGGTGAAATAATGCAAGCATCCCCTGCCCTTTGGAGCTCACAGGGATTGCAGGGAGGCCAAAGGAATGAGCAACAGAGGATGAGTCCTTGGGAAGTACCCTTATGGAGGCCCTAGTGCTTGGTGCTAAGAGGAGGGACAATTTTATTGCTTTGAACTTTCAGCTCCAATCAGATTTATCATAAAACGCATCCAAGCCTCTCTGAGAAAATGATGTTAGAACAGCTGTAGTCCAGGACCATAGAGGTACTACTGGAGACCAGCTGCTGCTCTTGCTGCTCTATATCAAAAGAGGATACAAGGTGATTGTACACCTCTGCAGACACATTAAGGGAATGGATTATTATTAAGATAGATTCCAGTGGAGAGCTCATGCCTTACCAGCTGGGGAGCTGGATTATGAAACTATTTTTCCAGTGTTCCAGAAGTGCTCTTCCAGCCAAGTTCCTGGGGACTACCAATCCCTGCTCTGCAATTGTAGATTCCCTAAATACTCTGAAAATCAAGAGCAAATCCAAAAGTCATCTGGTAGCAAGAACTGACTGGAACTGACATGGGAGCGATATGGTCTTTACTATCCCTCGTAGCAAGAAAATTCATACGTTCTTGCAGAAACATTAACATGCCTTATTAGAGTGCCATCCCAGACTTGGGCGCATATGTCACATATTGTAGTAAAGGCACCAAATTACTTTATTACCATTCTAGAATTTGAAAAAATATCTTAACTTACATCTGGCCTAAAAGTTTCAATTCAGGGATTTGGGGCCTATAATTATCTCCAGACCAGTGTTTCTCTCATACTTTTAGTTGCCTAAAAATTATTTGGAATAATTTTCATAATAGAGATTTCCATGCCCTTTAGAGTTTCTGAGCCAGTCAGTAGAGTAGGACCCAGGATTTTGCATTTTTGACAAGCATCCAGGGATGTAGCTTGTTCAGGGCCTGTGTTTTAGCATCATGATCCTAGGAAGGCTCATCCAGCACCAGGAGCCAATTGGCTGTTTTAGTCCACAGTCCTAGCCTAACCCTTGCTGTGTTCCCCATCAGTACCAGGACCCAACAGGGACAGCCAGCACCCCTGGCCCCCAGACTGCTCTGTAAGAGAGTCTGCTGGGCAGAAGGTAACACAGAAGTTTAGTCTGAGTCTTCAGTTGTTAGCAGATGGAAACCTTTTCTAGTCCCCCCTCTGGATCTTCAGTTAGCACCATTTACCCAATCACAGATGCTCTGGGAGGTCGCAAAGGCATTTCTTAGCTGGCACAGCAAACAAAAACCCCAACCAAAAACCAGACATGTTTGAGCTCTAGCTTCTATCAGCAGAAAATGAAGTTTTAAAAAAACTGGCTGTAAATATGTTATAATTGGTAGAGTTCACACTTCTGGATTCTCTTAGGAAAACAAACAAACAAGTCAGCAATCCTGGGGGCAGAGTTTCAGATTATTTCTTTGTGAAATGACGAATGTTCTCAAGTTAAGATGCCAAGAAACTGTTCCTGGGGTGGCAAGAATTCAGCACCAAGCTGAGTTTTCTCACTTGTTTGACCTATCTGGTCCTCACACGTATGAGTGCCCAATTCCTGACTGCTTTGCTTAATGAGATAAATAATGAAATGATTTCAAAGGGACTAAAGGTCCCAGTCCCTTGACTTCTTGTTGGGGTTCTTACCTACTGCCAAGGTAGAGGAGTACCTGGAGCAGGAGGTCAGGAAAAAAAAATCTGGGTAAAAATTAAGACACACGGACCCCCAGTGTATATGAATCTATGCAGCCATGAGATTCCAAACCTCAGTTTCCTTATCTACAAAATGGGGACATTATAAACTTCGCAAATCAATCTCTTAGAATCAGGGATTGTCTGCAGGGTCAAAGTTAATTTTTGAAAACCTGCTATTTAAGGCAAGATTTAAAGATTTTAATAGAATAAATCAATATGAGAGTTTTGAGTTCCCTTCTTGGTTTATTCCATAAAAATGTTTAGTCTCCCTTATGGATCCAACAAGAATTTTTTGAAATAACGTTTTACTAGAATACAGTTATGCTCATTCAATCAGAAATTGCAGGTGGCTGCTTTTGCCCAGCAGGAAGAGGTGACTGGTTGTGACGGAGACAGGATAGCTCAAGATGACAATACTAAATGTATGGTCCTTTATTATTATTATTTTAATATTTATTTTTTAGGTGTACTTGAACACAATACCTTTATTTTATTTATTTTTATGCGGTGCTGAGGATTGAACCCAGGGCCTCGCACATGCTAGACGAGCGCTCTGCTGCTGAGCCACAACCCCAGCCCCAATTGTATGGTCCTTTAAAGAGAGAGCTTGCCATCCTCTAATCTAGACAACATAACTAGAAATTGAGACTTGTACAGAAGGGTAAGTAAGTAGCCCAACATTTTGGTTCCCTGCTACACTGTCTGAGCTCCTCTTCTTCCAGATTCACGTCACTTTCTTTGAGACTGACATTAAGACTCATCTTTTAGGGCTGGGGCAGGAGCTCAGTGGCAGAGCACTTGCCTAGCATGTGTGAGACACTGGGTTTGATCCTTAGCACCACATTGAAATAAAATAAAATAAAATAAAGGCATGCTGTCCATTTACAACTACAAAAAAAAAAAAAAAGACTCATCTTTCAGCTGGGTACATGCCTATAATTCCAGCAGCTTGGGAGGCAGAGGGAGGAGGCCAGCCTCAGTAACTTAGTGAGGCTCTGGGCAACTCAGTGAGAACCTATCTTCAAATAAAACATAAACAGCATTCCTTAAATGACCCCACATACTTTGAGCATTCCCTCACCCTGAGTTCCTATAGCTACTATTACTTCAGGGTGCTACCTGTCCTTGAATGCAACATACAAACGAATCTGTCCTTCCTGTACCCACCAGGGGGAAAGTGGGACATTGATTCCAGTGCCCTAGAAAGTCATGAGCGCCTTGCTTGGAATTCCTTTCAGAAACTGCAACATACTCTTAAAAACTCTAATGGAGAATCTTCACTTTTGGATGTGGGAAAACAGCCAAGAGTCAGTCAATCTATTTTGTAAAATAAAAGGAGAGTAGTTTCTTGTGGGGCTTAACTTAGTTCTGAAGGCAACTCAGAGAGAACAAAGCCAGGTGCATCTGAGCAGCGACAGCGTGGTTTGAAAGCCTGCCAACTTAACCTGGGTCCAGAGCCTCCAAGTGGGAAATGTTTCAAAGTTAGTTCAGAAGTCAGTTATTCAGCAATAATTTTTTTTTCTGACATATTGGTTGAAAGCAAACAAAAGAATAGTATACCTGAATGTGAGACTAGGCACATCAGAAGGTACCTCAGAGCTTTGTTTTATACATACCGACATACATACTTGTGGCACCATTTGGATTTTTTAAAAAAATCATATGGCCACTTCAAATTCCCCAACAAGACTGCCCATGCTCCAAGGCAAAAGGACCTCCATCTTCTATCTCTGTGAGTCCACTGAGGACATGTATTGAATCTTCAGGATAAAGCTAAATGTCACTTCCTTTCTAAAGAGTTCCAACCTGAGGTGGCAACTCTGTCACACTGTGAATAATCCCATATGGCATGTGGCAGAGGGACTGTTATCTGCACATTTTCTTATCTACTTCCCCTTACCCTGTGTGTTTAGCTTTCTTTAACCTTCAGGTAGCAGAGTTCCTGGAGCAGGACAAAACTCCAGTCACCCTTGATTGGAGTGTGAGGGTGGCTACTTGTTTTCTACAGTAATTTTCATTTTCCATTCAAACTCTTTACACACAAAGAGATGTGATGTGCAAAATATTCAGGAGAGGGTTGAAGGAAGGAAGATCTACAGAGGCTGGTGTGCCCTGACACTCCTGCTTCCAGTGACACTGTCTACAAAGAACAAAGAAGCAAGCATCTATGTACGAGAACCCAGCTTTTCTTGATTCAGACTCCTGAGAATTGGTTTGCTAGTGAAATGAATTCCTGGATCTTCCAACGTGTCCAGTTTCATACATCTCAGTAAAACACTTGAGAAGCCATCAGATGATGCTGACCCTGTATGCTAAACTGGGTTGTCTATGGCTTGGCCCTCTCTGCAAGGGCAGAGAACCATCTTGAACTAAGTACAGGACTCTTGGGCCATCCCACCTAGTGGGCTCTGGACAGGAACACCACCCTTGGCTTCCTTACCACTGTTGTCCAGGGCACCTGAGGAATCCTGGTGTAGGTCATCGTTATGTAGATGATGAGGAAGAAGACGGTGAGGACCCAGTAAAATACAGCTACGAACATGACCCAGCCAAATGCGGGAACCCGGAAGTACTCGGTTCCAGCGATAAGTGTCCATACCAGTAGACCCAAGACCTGTAAAATGGTAGAGGCAGTGGAAAAGAAAGGGGATGGGGGAGGAACAGGGGACAGAGAAAAAGATAATTATACAGAGTGTCAATTACAACTTACTTGAATATTCACACATACAAACACACGATTTAAAAATAGGGATTGCAAACTCTTATGCCCACAAATAAAGCCATGGCAAATAAGAAAATCCATGTCTTGTGTTAAGGAGGCACTCTCTATGCAGCTCTGGCGGATTTTAGTGGGCTGGTTTCAACAAATCTGCCCCCTTTTTTCCTTAGAAGAACACAGAAACTCAAGTTTGCCCATGATAATCTTGTTTTTAAAATATTAGCACTAATTAAGAGTCTTAAAACACCACTCAGGGCAAAACAGCAACTGTGGCTGGAATTTGCTCTCAGAGCAGTACTTGTCAAAGAAACATGACTGCAGGTCCACTCAGAGGCAGTCCCGGAGCTCATCTGCTCCCAAACTCTGAGCCTCTGGGCATTCCCTGCCTGCCATCGCTGCCCTGCTCACAGATGGTGGAGAGTGGTGGCCTGAGAGAGCTGTCAGAGGAAGAGCAAGCCAAGGTCCCCGTGCAGACACGATACTTGGCATCTTATCACAAGTGGCACACTATCCCAGCAACAGCCATTCAACTCTTCACCACTGCAGAGCAAGGCCAGAGCCAAAAGCCACATCAACATCACTTGCCGAGTCCTGGAGGCCTATATCCAGGCACAAGAAACTGACCTAAACCGGAGGTGTCTAGAGTCCTGAGCAAAGGAAGGCCAGAGAAAGGTAGGCACTTGCATTCCAACACTTTCCAGAGTGCTGGACAGAAGGACTTTATTCCTAAGTCAAGGGAAAGTTAGAGTCTGTACCACATCCCTAAGGGATACCATCAAAAATTCAGGGTGAACTCTGGCCATAAATGCTGGCTTGCTGGGTGACTCAGGACAAAAAATTTCACTTCTGTTTTAGCTTTCTTTGCAGTCTGCAGAACAAATACTAAAGTAACGCTAAGCATACAAAGCTGGGAAGATAAATGTTGCTCATTCGTATACCACGTGTACATCTACAATGGTCAGGCTTCTTGTCATCGGAAAGTGGGATATGAACTGAACAGATCCTGCTTGTAAACAGCTTAACGTCTAGGGGTGGGAACATCAGACTAATTAGAACTGAAAATCACTATACAGGAATATGGTCAGGTTCCATATAGGGGGACATCACATTATTGGCAGGTACAAGAAGTGTCAGAGAAGTAAGCTCCTAAGACAGGCGGGAAAGTAATGTTCGTGCAGAGTGTGGCATGAGCAAAGGTTGGGGGTGGGGAGGGCTGGGCTACCTTCCAAAACCAGAAGGAACATGTATGTAGTAGGTTAAAAAGGGTCACATGATGCAGGCCCAGGAAACCTAAGGATTTTGTACTTTATCCTAAGGGTGAGGGTTTTAAGCAGAGACTGATGATATCTGGTTAATTTTTTTTTTTATCAGATCACACTGGCTGCATGCAGAGAATGGACATGTGGAGGGGTAAGAGGTGGGTCTGAGGGATGAGTTCAGAGATGGTGCAGGTACCCAAGTGGGAGATGGGGATGTCTTCAAGACCAGTGAGGTGGGAGTGAATATTGAACAGTTGGTAAATTCATGACAAATTTCAGGAGTAGGCAGGACTTTATAGATTACATACGGTGGTGTGAGAGGATACAGTGGAATGACTGGTCCCAGGTCTCTGGAAAGGTTTAGGACGTGGTTTAGGGTTTCATTTGTTCAGCTGGAGTGACAAAGGAGGAAAGGTTGTGGGGGTGGGGGGGTGGGAGGGATGCTGTTGATGAGCTCAGTTCTTAATCTGTCAAGTTTGAGGTGGCTGCCAGACTTTCAAGACAGGTGTTTTAGTCAGCTTTTTCACTGCTGTGACTGAAGGACCTGACCAAAATAATTGTAGAGGAGGAACAGTTTATTTAAGGGCTCATGATTTCAGAGGTCTCCATCCATAGACAGCAGGCTCTATTCCCCAGGGGTTCCAGATAAGGCTGAACATCATGGCGGAAGAGAATGGCAGAAGGAAGGAGCTCACATGGCCATCAGAAAGCAGAGAGCAAGACTCCACTTGCCAGATACAAAATATATACCCCATAGCCACGCCCCCAATGAACCACTTCCTCCAGCTACACCCCACCTGCCTCCAGCCGCCACCCAGTTAATCCCATCAGAGATCAATTCACTGATCAGATTAAGGCTATAACCCAATAATTTCTCCTCCAAACCTTCTTGTATTGTCTCACATGTGAGCTTTTGGGGGACACCACATCTAAACCATAACAACAGGGAGGAGATTTGGGCCCTTCTTTAAGAAGACCTCAGTGAGTCACGAAGCCTCAGGTAGGATTCCCAGGGACACCCTACAGTTGATTCCTGAGAGAAGCACACCTCTCTGTGAAAGTCTGCATGCCTGTGCTGGGAAGCAGGTGACAGAGTCTGAGTGTTGCTGTTTCTCCTCTTTAGAGTTGAACATGGACATTTCTTTTGTCTCCTTGATGTTGTATATGGATACCAAAGAAAAGGTGCTTAATGGAGATGTGTGTTTGTGCTTACATTGGTGGCAATAAAAAAAGTGAGGATGTACAAAATGGATGTGACTCTAGAAAGCACTAAGCCTCACACTAATGGGGATTTTGAGCCCGAATTCATCCCAACTGACAGGTAATCTATACCCCTATGTTTGACATTCCCTTGGATCAGTAAGGTTGGTAATGGGTATAATCCAGCACAACAGCATCGGAAACAACATTTTAGGGCCTCTTGATTCAAACTGAAAGGGTCAGATGGGCCTTTTGTTGATGATTCACACAAGAAACAACAGTGAATGAATGATTGCAAATGTGTTTATGGTGCTCTTTCAGGATTGCAAAGGTTTAAGGTTCACCTGACAGCTCTTGGCTATGAATGCAAAAATGTTTTTCATTAATAAGCAAATGGAGCCTGTTGTCCAGAGCTGCAGTTGTCCAATTTGCTAGCAACGGTCGCTTGCAGATGCAGGACAATATGTTTAACTGAGCTGTTTCTCAAAGAGCAGGAATACTTGACCCCTGACCTCACCAGCAAACATAGTATAAAGAATGTCCCTGTCAAGAGAAGAATTGTTCTACCCCAGTGAATTTCCTAGGTAAGTGAAATCTATCTTCAGGCAAACCTTTTATCTCCCTCTATAAGCAGTACTGATGAAGATCACTCTACAAAAATGTCACTCATCTCCTATGTGCATGTGTATGTGCATACATTTAAGAAAAGTCCTAGATCTTTATTTGCTTAGACTGCACAAATACCATTTATTCTCCCCTGGATTGCATTTTGTAAGGCCAAGCCTAAAAAAAAAAAAAAAAAAAAAAAATTCAAGAGTGAGAAATATAGGTTAAAAAAGAGTGAGAAATATAGGTTAAAAAATTAACATGGAAATATATCCACGAGTTGGAAATTTAAGAAAAAAAAATCAATACCAACAATTTTACCAACCTTTTCTCTTGCATTCCTAATCCACCACCTGAGTGTCCTTTTCTTTCTCTCTTTATAAATATGGATCATTCTGTACATGGCGCCTATAACTTGCTTCTTTCAGTCAGCAATCTCATGGAGGACATCCTATGTACTATGTACAGAGCTAGGTCAATTTTAATAGTTGCTGATTCTCCATAATTCATGTAACCAGTTCCCTATGGAGGTACATTTAGGTTATCTCTTTTTATGTTTGTACAAAAATGCCCAGAGCATATTCTTACAATATAATCTCTGCATACCTGAATTCCAGGACACAGTTCTAGAAGTAGAATTTCTAGACTGTTTGTCCTTACAAGCAGATGCTGTCAAATCACTCTCCAAAAACCTTATACTCATTTACCTTTCCATCACAAAGCATGTATACATGTAGATATTCTATATCTATATATCTATAACCTATATTCTATATCTATATTCTTTTTTTTTAAATTGTAGACAGACACAACATTTTTATTTATTTATTTATTTATTTTTATGTGATGCTGAGGATCGAACTCAGGGCCTCATGCATGCAAGGCAAGCGCTCTACTACTGAGCCACAACCCCAGCCCTCTGTATCTATATTCTATATCTTCATTTATACATGCTTTCCCCTTTCTACTCTCACTGGACTATATTCCCCAATTTTTGTTGTTTTTGAGACAGGGTCTCACTATGTTGCTCAGGCTGGTCTTGAACTTGTAAGCTCCAGTGATCCTCCTGCCTCAGTCTCTCTAGTAGCTGGGGCTACAGGTGTGTAGCCACCACAAATGGCTAATTCCTATGCTTTGAATGATTAAAAACTTACTTCAAAATAGAAAGCAAGAGAGCTCATATTTTGCCTTTCACTACTTTATTGAAATACAGTCAAGAGAAGTGTGACAAATCCTAAGGGAACAGTGTGGTGGATTTCCACTAACTGAACCAACCTGTGTACCTAGCATCCCCATCAAGAAACACACCACAGCCAGCACCCGCTTCTAGTTACTGCTTCTCCCCTCCAAGGGCAACAATGATCCTGATTTCTAGCCTTAGTTTTGCTCAATTTCCATCTTCATACAGATGGAATCGTACAGTCAGTACTCAACACACCCGGCTTCCTTTACTCAGCGCTGAGAGTCAGACACAACACAGAATGTAGTTCTTTCGTCCTCCTGACTACCAGCAACAGTTCTCAAACGTGGAGGGCTTGTTCACCCAGATTGCACAGACTTTGCTCTAGAGTCTGTGATTCAGATCTAGGGTGGGATCTAAGAATCTGCACTTCTAGCAAGTTCCTGGTGATACTGCTGTCAGGAGCCAGCAAGTTATGAACCACCGATACATACTGTTCTTGTTTCTGCTTTAAATTACATTTTCCTGACCTGTGCTAAGTATTTTTTTCAAATGTTTATCGGTAACTTACAGAGCTTTCCTTAATTGATAGGTTAAAAAAAATTGCTTTCTGATTGGTAGAGATCTTTACATAAGAGGGATAGTAACCA